GAATATATCCCATTCCAGGTTTTTCACTTCCCAATCTGTTGTGGCCCAGCAGGAGCCGTTGGAGCTGCAAACGGACTCCAACAGCGAGGGGCCTTGCCCGGATCTGTCATGCAGCAAAGAGATATGGTAGCGGGTGCAATAGTAGCAAGCACTGCATGACAGATCCGGGGAAGATTGGGGGGTGGAGGAAGGGAAGAGGAATGATCTCATCTCCACAAAGGCTTTTCTCAGGATGCTAGATCTCCACTTTCTCTCCGGAAAAAGCTATTGGCATCGTTGGGATCTTGGCTAGTGGAAGAAGCATGGGATGGAAAGGAAACTTCGGAATGCAGGAGTGCCGGGTCGGGAGTCTCCCTGGAGCCTGGCACCTGCTTTTGCCCCTAGACTAAGGAAGCGGGGTTACGAAGAGGGCTGTGAACAAGCCCAGTTGTTCAAGGAGGCAGCCTTGCCGGGTCGTCATCTTTGGGCTTCCCTTTTGCTGCTCAGGAGCCACATGAGGAACCATTAATCCAAATGGAAGGGATCCCCACCCCTCCTCACCCAATGGGCCGTTCCCGGTCGAGCGCAGCGATTGCCGTTCAACAGCCCCTGCGTGTCTTTCTCTCCTCGCTGAAGAAAAGAAGCCGTGGAGAGATAAAAAAACAAAGTGTGGAGATATGTTTAGTCCTGCCCTGCCATGGGAGGGATAGAGAAAAGTGGATTTGAGATAAAAGCCTTACCCTTTAGGAAGATCGAGCCCCCACACATCGTGTTTTTGCCCTCCCCGGCCCCCAGAAGCACTTTGCAGGCCTCCCAAACTCTCTGCATGCCCCATTTTTCACAAAAAAATGGGGTGTTCAGAGGGTTTGGGAGGCCTGCAGAGTGCTCTTGGGGGCCGGGGAGGGCAAAAACTTTTTTTAAAAATTTACCTCTTCAAAATCTTGGTGCGTCTTATACTTCGAAAAATATGGTATATTACTATATATCATATAATAGTATAATATAAGTAAGGTTGTATGTCAGGGCACTCCTAGTCTACTTAGAGTCCCCTTCTATTGCCAAAGCAAAACCATTGATCTCTGAAGCTTAATGCAACATTTTGTCCAAAAAAAGGAACAAAACCTTTGGCCCTCTTCCCGTAATATTACTTCACCATCACCGCATACACTGCATCCTTCAACCACAAAAAATTGCTTGCTTCTTAATATACAAAAAGGAACAGTTAGATATGCTGAATTATTAAATATAGAGGGTGAACTCAAATCTATACAAGATTTGAAACAGGAAGGTATTGAAGTTAATTGGTATTCATATGTGCAAATACATTCTAGATATAATGAAGATCAAAAAAAGGAGGGTTTTTACGATAAAGTGACTGAATTAGATAAAATCTTAACAGGTACCGATGAAAAGGTAATTAAAAAACTCTATGGCTATTTACTAGAGGTGAAACTTCATGAGGAACAAGTCAAAGAAACTATGTTAGCCTGGGGGAAAAACTTTGGGCATGGGATTGAATTAAGAGAAATGGCAAAAACTGTGGACTCAAAAC